AGAGGAGTAAACGCGTACAGCAGCACTCTTGGCCACTGGTGAGCCAATGCGTCAACTCACAGAGGCGCGTCCGCGTCTGTCAGGGAGAAGAAGAGTGGGCAGTGGGCGCTTTCCCACGAGGTGAAGAGATCTACGGTAACCTGACCGAATCTCAGCCATATTTGGTGCACCACCTTGGGGTGGAGTTTCCATTCTCCGTACAGAGGATTTCCTCTGGACAGAAGGTCTGCCCCTCTGTTCAAGCTGCCCGCCACATGTGTTGCGCGGACTGAGAGGAGTCTGGAGCTGCACCACACAATTATTTCCTTGGCCAGTGAGTGCAGCTGTAGGGTGAGTGTCCCGCCCTGACGGTTGATATAAGCTACCACTGTGGTGTTGTCTGTCTTCACTAAGACATGACGGTCCCTTAAGTAGGCCAGGAAGTGTTTTAAGGCCAGAAACACTGCTAGGAGTTCCAGCACATTTATGTGAACCTGTTTCAAACTGCGTGACCAAACGCTGTTCACTGCTCTCCCCATCAAGGTGGCCCCCCAACCTGTAAGAGACGCGTCCGTCGTCATGGTAACTCTGGACACCACCGCCCCCAGCGGAACCCCAGTTGTGAGAACTGTTCAGTCTCTCCAAGGCTGGAGAGCTGACATGCACGCCGGAGTTATCTTCACTCTGCGGTGGAGATGACGGCGGGAGCATAGTCTTAACAACCTCACCCACCACTGAACATCTCTCATCATAAGAAGCCCCAGTTGCACCACAGAAATCATTGACGCCATGAGGCCGAGAAGGCGCTGGCAAAGTCTGTACGACGCACGGTATCCTAACTGAAAACGTGCGACACACTGTGTGAAGGACGCAATCCTCTTCTGACAGCGAAACGCGATAAGAGAGAGAGTTTATCTGAAGACCCAGATATTCTGTGCATTGTCTGGGGAATAAACTGCTCTTTGTCCAGTTTATTTTCAATCCCAGGTCGGTCAGATGGCTCAACACCACCAGCGCGTCGCTGGCTGCTTGCTCCCGGGAGGGAGCGCAAATCAGATTATCGTCTATGTGAGAGAAAATTCTGATCTCGCGAGTCCTCAGTGAGGACAGCGCTGCCTCCACACACTTGGTGAAAACCCTCGATGCTAATGACAGCCCGAACGGGATGGTTTGAAACTCGTAGGCTGTGCCCCGATAGGCAAACCTGAGAAACTTCCTGTGTAGAGGATAAATAGAGATGTGAAAATAGGCATCTGCGAGGTCAATCGTGACAAACCAATCTCCTGGGCAGATGGAACGGCAGAGTGTTTTGTGAGTCAACATTCTGAAAGTGTACTTGCGTAAGTGTTTGTTTAACACATGCAGGTCGAGTATGGGACGGAGAGATTTCCCGTCCTTCTGTGGAACAAGGAAGTAGAGCGAATAAAAACCCTGGTGGGCCTCGTCGCTCGGCACCATCCTGATCGCTTTTTTTGTTCAACAGTGAAGCAATTTCGTTTTCCAGGATATGCGCCGAATCCTCTCTTGCCACTGACGTTATTATCCCATTGAAACAGGGAGGTTTTGAGGCAAACTGAAGCCTGGAACCCCAACAAACTGTCATCAGAACCCACGAGGGAACTGCGCATGCGCGCCACCTCTTGGCCCGCGCCGAAAGCAAGCCGCTGTTGGGTGACGTCATCTCCGTCACCTGAGCAGCCTCGACTCGTCCCGTGGGAAGAGTGAGAGGGCCCTCTGCTGGGCGCAGAGGGACCTGATGGGGTTTGTTTATTATTTTTTGTGGGGAGCTGTCTGCCCTTGACTGAACGCCTGGCTGCAGAAAAGCCGTCTTTATTTTTAAATGACCCCCCTGAACATTTATGCTCACATCTGGGAACAAAGTGCTTGGTGACACTAACTGCATGCTCATGAAAAGTGTTTGGTGACACTGCGTTTTCTGCTCCACACACTCGCCACTCCTGCTGGACCGGGAACCACAGGAGTGTCTGAACCCTGAACACAGAGGTCTGTTTGTACCTCTGAAAACCTCCTCTTTTTCTGGAGAGGAGAAGCAAGAGCAGCTAGGATGACTTCTTCCTCTTGCCCTCGCTGGGGTGAGACGGGCGGTTCCTCGCGGCTGCTGCTGCGAAAGAGTGCTTTCCCCATGGGCGAGGGTTCTCCGCCTTGTTTGGCTGACCACCTGCCGATCGCTGTGGTCTAGCCCCACCCTGTTGACCCTTTGCCGCTGGGGCAGCTGCTGCAAACCCAGGCTTGGGTGCCTGAGGTGGCTGAGGGTTATGTTTACGAGGCAAGCAGAGATTGAGGGCCTCACCTTCCTGCTTCCTGTGGGTGCTTGTCTCAGTCATCTTCTCCAGGGCGGGCCAAAGAGACCTTTGACAGGGTCAAATGCTGCATCCATGACATCAGCTTTCTGGCTGTCACCTAGGCCTGACAAGTTTAGCCACAAGGCTCTCTCACCTGAAACAGCCAAACCCATCACACGCCCACAGCCCTGGACTGCTCCTCTAGAAGAGTGCAGGATGAGATCATTCACCACACAGATTTCATCCCATAAAGCCGGGTTAGGCGCCCAAGAGTCCAGCTGACGACCCATTTCCTCCAGGATTTCTCCTTGATAAGCTGACATTAGAGTAACTGCATTGAGGGAACACACAGATTGGCCAGCATATGTGTGCATCCTCTGAAAAATGGATGCCGTGAGACGATCCGTTTTAGATGGGAGAGAGATGCTGGATGACGCTGACACGGATCTGCGGTTGGGGTGAAGGTGGTATGCCACTGAAGGCTCCACAGTTGGGGGTTCGGCCAGCCCCAATTCCCCCATCCCATGCACCTCCAGCTTGGAGTATCCATTGGTGGGGAGTTTGCTTTTAAATGAGCTAGACCAGTAACACTTGGGTGGAGCGGAGGACAGTGGAAGCCTCATACAGGTCTCGTTCCACCCCTTCTGTCCCTTGGGCTGCCGGCCACTGAATGTTGAGCTTTGCAGCTGCTCGCCTGCAAACCTCGTACACGTCGGTGTCCCCCTGTGATGCCACCCCAGTGCCGCTAGGTGGCCTAGAGTGTTGAGCCGGGAAGGTGGAATCCTCTTCCTCCTCGTCCATGTCCAAATAGAGGAGGTCATCACCCGCATCGAGCAGCCCACTGTCAACCAGTCCCTCGAACAGAAGTGGTAGCGGGGGCTCCTCCTCCATCATATCTGCCCAACTTGTGGAGGCTCGCGGCTGATGGTTGTCACCTGCATCACAGGTGTGGCCAAGCCGAGGCCTGGGTTCCGGCCGTTAGCCACTGCCACTCTAAGCCTCCTTTTTCTCTGGCATGGAGGAGCAGTGAGGGCATGTCTGCGGGTTAGCCAGCGATGCCTGGGCGTGAGCAGCACCCATGCACACTATGACAATAGGATGAGGGTCCCTGCCTGAAATAGAAGCCCCACATGACGCCGGGCACAGGCGGGATGCAGCCTCTTTAGCCTTTGGTTCCGACCCTTCCGTCTGGGTAGGGGTGGAAGCCATAGCTGAAAAACCGACTGGTCGTGACAGATTAGCCTGAAAAAGCGTTAGCAAGCTAGTTAGCAGGTGTAAGTCTGCAACTATAGCTATATTTTATATGTAGGACAACTCGTCGTGACACGTTAGCTGCAACAAAATAGCTCATTAGCGAGTAAATGCTAAATAAGAACAGGACAAGCTCGCAACAACGCGTTAGCTTGAGCCACACTCGCTAATACTACTCCGTCAATGACAACCGAGTAGCCGCGGGAGCAGTACGCCGTGACGCGGTAATGGTTCCTAGCAAAGTGTGCCAAGTGACTTAGAAACACTTACTCAGCTCTAATCCAGACTGCATTGGGACTGCGTTCGGCGACGGATCCTGATGGTACGCCTGGGAACAGTTAAGCAGCTGACCAAAGATAGCCTGAAAATCGCTGAGGGAGCAAAGTGTAGTTTCTCACGGGAAGAAAGCGAGAACGCGAGAATGAGTAGGAGGGGTTGGTTGGCCGTGTATATACTGGGTGGGCGGAGCCTGGGCACGGCGCTACCAGTCTGTCAGGGACAGACGTGATGTCAATGGAGCTTCCGTAGTTGGTCACGCCAGGGCGATTCCCCGTAGTGAAACACCGAACGAAGTTAGAAAAAGAACCCCGAAATAACAAAGAAGATTGAAAAAAATTATAAAGGATAAAAGGGATAATAAATTAAAAGAATTAAAAGATTAAAAAAAAATAACGAGTAAAAACAAGGTCATGACTAAAAATATTTAAAAAAAACATACTAAAAGGTAAGCACATGTCAACAGGGAAGACACCACAGACTAAAACACTAACAGCCTGATCATTGATCAAAGTTAATGATAAAAATAGGCCTTCGGCACTGACTTGAACCGACACAGTGACGGGGCCTGTCGAACACTGAGGTGAAGAGCATTCCAAAGTTTGAGGGCAGCAAACACGTAGGCCCGCTCCCCACTGGATTTATATTTCATCTTTGGGTGCAAAAGAGCAGGTGATCTGCCGATCTTAGGCTTCTGGATGGTACATATGGCTTGAGCAGTTCTGACAGGGAAGCGGGAGCTGGACCATTTAGGGCATTGTAAACAATAGTTAAGACCTTAAACTGGATGCGGTATTCACAGTGGATGAATCAAAATATTGGTTTAAAAATGTAACAGCTCAGACGGTATACAATTATGAATGTTAAAATCACAGCTGAGGTCATGTCTGGTGTTACCATAGTGCACTAAAAACATCTACAAGAAGAACTGGACGGAAGGGCCCCACTTGGGTCAGAATAGACATACGAGTGTGTAAAGGAGAGACTCCAGATAGAAATGTGTTTGGAAGATGGAAGGACCCCATAAGAACATGACTGGAAACATGACGGTGTGTGTGGCATTACCTGGCCTTCCCCACCCAATAGGTCCACCTGACTACCATACAGCCACATGAGCATTGGTCCAGTTTAGTAGTAGAACAACATCACATACATGTCAGCACAGAAGAAGGTGTTTGAATGTACTCTTACCTGTGTGTAGGTCTCATCTGGGATTGGTCCATCATAAAGCATCTGAGGAACAGGGCTGGCCTCATTCTCTTCTGCTGCAGCAGGAGTCTGAAGGCCTTTCATCTGAAATATAGATAACAGACAAGACTCAGAACTATATGAAGAGACTTTCGAAGGCAAAAAAGATCATCTAACTGTGAAACAGCAGCACAGAACGACAACTGAGAACATGGCTGGGCCTTCTGGACTACTGGTAATGAGCAGCTCTCATGACGATTCCAGGAGTTCACAGTGGATGAATCAAAATATTGGTTTAAAACATGTAACAGCTCAGACGGTATACAATTATGAATGTTAAAATCACAGCTGAGGTCATGTCTGGTGTTACCATAGTGCACTAAAAACATCTACAAGAAGAACTGGACGGAAGGGCCCCACTTGGGTCAGACTAGACACATACGAGTGTGTAAAGGAGAGACTCCAGATAGAAATGTGTTTGGAAGATGGAAGGACCCCATAAGAACATGACTGGAAACATGACGGTGTGTGTGGCATTACCTGGCCTTCCCCACCCAATAGGTCCACCTGACTACCATACAGCCACATGAGCATTGGTCCAGTTTAGTAGTAGAACAACATCACATACATGTCAGCACAGAAGAAGGTGTTTGAATGTACTCTTACCTGTGTGTAGGTCTCATCTGGGATTGGTCCATCATAAAGCATCTGAGGAACAGGGCTGGCCTCATTCTCTTCTGCTGCAGCAGGAGTCTGAAGGCCTTTCATCTGAAATATAGATAACAGACAAGACTCAGAACTATATGAAGAGACTTTCGAAGGCAAAAAAGATCATCTAACTGTGAAACAGCAGCACAGAACGACAACTGAGAACATGGCTGGGCCTTCTGGACTACTGGTAATGAGCAGCTCTCATGACGATTCCAGGAGTTCACAGTGGATGAATCAAAATATTGGTTTAAAACATGTAACAGCTCAGACGGTATACAATTATGAATGTTAAAATCACAGCTGAGGTCATGTCTGGTGTTACCATAGTGCACTAAAAACATCTACAAGAAGAACTGGACGGAAGGGCCCCACTTGGGTCAGACTAGACACATACGAGTGTGTAAAGGAGAGACTCCAGATAGAAATGTGTTTGGAAGATGGAAGGACCCCATAAGAACATGACTGGAAACATGACGGTGTGTGTGGCATTACCTGGCCTTCCCCACCCAATAGGTCCACCTGACTACCATACAGCCACATGAGCATTGGTCCAGTTTAGTAGTAGAACAACATCACATACATGTTAGCACAGAAGGAGGTGTTTGAATGTACTCTTACCTGTGTGTAGGTCTCATCTGGGATTGGTCCATCATTAAGCATCTGAGGAACAGGACTGGCCTCATTCTCTTCTGCTGCAGCAGGAGTCTGAAGGCCTTTCATCTGAAATATAGATAACAGACAAAAGACTCAGAACTATATGAAGAGACTTCCAAAGGCAAAAAAGATCATCTAACTGTGAAACAGCAGCACAGAACGACAACTGAGAACATGGCTGGGCCTTCTGGACTACTGGTAATGAGCAGCTCTCATGACGATTCCAGGAGTTCACAGTGGATGAATCAAAATATTGGTTTAAAACATGTAAAAGCTCAGACGGTATACAATTATGAATGTTAAAATCACAGCTGAGGTCATGTCTGGTGTTACCATAGTGCACTAAAAACATCTACAAGAAGAACTGGACGGAAGGGCCCCACTTGGGTCAGACTAGAGACATACGAGTGTGTAAAGGAGAGACTCCAGATAGAAATGTGTTTGGAAGATGGAAGGACCCCATAAGAACATGACTGGAAACATGACGGTGTGTGTGGCATTACCTGGCCTTCCCCACCCAATAGGTCCACCTGACTACCATACAGCCACATGAGCATTGGTCCAGTTTAGTAGTAGAACAACATCACATACATGTCAGCACAGAAGAAGGTGTTTGAATGTACTCTTACCTGTGTGTAGGTCTCATCTGGGATTGGTCCATCATTAAGCATCTGAGGAACAGGGCTGGCCTCATTCTCTTCTGCTGCAGCAGGAGTCTGAAGGCCTTTCATCTGAAATATAGATAACAGACAAAAGACTCAGAACTATATGAAGAGACTTTCGAAGGCAAAAAAGATCATCTAACTGTGAAACAGCAGCACAGAACGACAACTGAGAACATGGCTGGGCCTTCTGGACTACTGGTAATGAGCAGCTCTCATGACGATTCCAGGAGTTCACAGTGGATGAATCAAAATATTGATTCAAAACATGTAAAAGCTCAGACGGTATACAATTATGAATGTTAAAATCACAGCTGAGGTCATGTCTGGTGTTACCATAGTGCACTAAAAACATCTACAAGAAGAACTGGACGGAAGGGCCCCACTTGGGTCAGACTAGACACATACGAGTGTGTAAAGGAGAGACTCCAGATAGAAATGTGTTTGGAAGATGGAAGGACCCCATAAGAACATGACTGGAAACATGACGGTGTGTGTGGCATTACCTGGCCTTCCCCACCCAATAGGTTCTCTTTTGCTGCTGCAGGAGCCTTGTTTTTTCCCACCTGGATTGTAGATGAATAAAACATATCACAGATCAAAGATGAAATGCATTTCCATAGACAACCAAGAGTAATATTGGAAGCATGGTTAATATTGGAGAAATAGCAACCAACTCACCTTACTGCGCCAAGGCCATTTTGAATCACCATAGTTGTAATAAATTTCAGCTCCTATTTCTATTTTCTTCAGAGAAAAAAGGCACAAATGTGGTTTGTTGTCAACTATGATTTTTTTCATAACGCAATTAGGATTTTTGTGGTTGTCATTGACCAATCTTCCGAGAGAGCCATCTTCTTCAGATGCATCCAGGCTGAAAAGTATTTAAAAAAATTGTAATAGTTTTACATTTTTTAACAGTTTTATTGAAATAATTGTTTTCAAAAGATTTTAATATTTGTGCTTTAATTAGTTTATCAAGTATTAAACCCTTGTTCCAGGGATAACTCGGAATTTCTCTAATCAATAAAAAATCATCCATTTTTCCATGTTTACCATAAGCAATGGTTCTGCCACTTAAAGCCAAAGAGAAATTTGCTTTCAGTCTCTGAGTATCGTCTTGACTCGCATTCTTCCTTTGTGAGGAGTTTACCCCTGTACTCCAAGACGAAGTCCCCTGGTTCATTGGGGGGTGTGGCAAACACTCCTCTTCCTATAAAATATATAATAATTAAACATTTCATTCTGGGACTCAAAAGAGATACTACAGTATTTTAAAGTGAGGCTGAGGTTCTTGCGTCTAGTCGGTATATAACCTGCAGACAATGCTCAACATTCTCCTTGCAGGTAAACAGATTTTTGATCAGGCTTTCTGTGGCCAAAACATGTTTTTGATGCCAACCCATCCATATGAATGTATCACTGAGGTCCTGTCTATGCTCTGTTACTTTCCCTTAATCTGAGAGTGCTGTGTACCATTTGGTCCACGTAACACACCAGTGAAGTGTAACAACACAGATGCACCCTAACCCATGCAACTCAGACTTGACATAAACCGACAAACAGATGTAGATGGATCCCAGACTGGAAAATTACAGTGGGGCCACAGCAAGGCATGGAACTATATATTAAATAGCAATACAAAAAAGTATTCCTATTTGCAATATATGAGACATAAAAGCAATATAACAAATGTATATACAACAAATAGATTGACTAGTTCAATAATGTATGGTGCAAATGAGCTTTAAGTTGCAGTAAACTAAAAATGCATTTAAATCTATTTTCACAAGTGCAATGACATTATGATTTACAAGTTTGTAATAATTGAGATTTGACACCCAGAGATTGTGAGGAAAAAATGTATGCAGAGGAAGAAATAGAGAAGAAAGTGCTATTTCAAGGTTCCTGCATCTTTTTTAAAAATCTAAATAAATGCTTTTTAAATACCTTAGGAGCTCAGTAGATGACACATAAGTCCTAACAGGCCAAGAGAAACAAGAAAAGAACTGAAATTCATTCATGTGAATGATGACATCTACTTTTAATGTTTAATAATGCAATCCCTACTAACTTCACCCTTTCCTTGTCATTTTTGGATCAATACAGATGAAATTTGCCTTAAAGAGCAAACTGCAGCTTAGAGACAAACCAGAGGGAGAAATCATCAGCCAAAGCAGAGAGATTTATCTGTGGTGTCAGGAGGTTCTGTGGAGGAGCAGGTGTCTCTGTGAGTGAACGATGCTAGCTAGCTTGCTACAACTCGTGCGCTAACAAAATGTTACTGTCATGTAGAGCAGTGGTTCCCAAACTTATTTAGCCGCGCACCCCCTTCTATGTCCCGACCATGTTGACACACCCCCCAGCCCCACATCAGGGCATGGCTATATATATATATATATATATATATATATATATACACACACATATCAGACGTCACGCTAAACCAGGGGTCGGCAACCTGTTCCCATCAAAGAGCCATTATTACCCGTTTCCCACAGTAAAGAAAACACTGCAGCAGCTGCGGCGTTGTGGGCGGGGCCTACCCTCAGACAGCAGAGCGCTGCTAACAACAGGTGACAGCAGCCGGTACCGGTCGCTCGTGTACGTCAAAGTTATCTTTCATAAGAAGGTAATCAATAAAACAATTTATATAAAGTGGATCCAGAAGTTGTAGCCCGTCTCTGCCGACAGTATTTAGATATTTTTCACCCTGTTGGTGGTTTTACTGAGCAGGTGCCACTTTTGTCATACGTTTCTTTTTAAAACATGTTTAGACTGTTCAGAATACAAATCCAGGCTCTGTCACGTTTGATTGTTGTAATTAAACTTTGTAGGTGGGGAAGGTCAGAAAAGGATCCGATCATTTTGTTTCTCCCTCATTTACAGTGACCGAGACAACGGCGCAGTGCGCCTGGCTCTGGTGTTAATCAAGTTAAATTTGTAACAATTTTCACAAGAAAACAAAACAGTTAAAAGCAGGGCTTGTGTTGACCGGATAGTTCCCGTATTTGACCGTTTATTTTTGATGGAGAAAGAATAGAAAGAATTACCCCGACGCATGTAGACGAACTGACACTTTATTCTACGCAAATCGCAGATGAAGCTAAATCACTCAAGAAAAGATTTCCTTCTGAACATCTGAGCTGGACACCGCTCAGTCAGCGCGTACATAAGGTGCACAGCGAGCTGAAGGTGTGGAGAGGGGCTTGGAGCACGTCGCAGAAACAGAGCGCATGCGGGAAGATTCCTTCCACTGAAGCTAGAGTTTTCAAAACCCGGTCTCTCAGAGAGACTTGTCACTTAGAAAATGTTCCGTGATGATGAAACTTTGGCTGAATTGTGCTTGTTCCTGTCTCCAATGTGGCGACTGAGGAGAGTCCCAGAATCTCACATCGTCTTCAGCTCAGAAAGCGCCTATGTTTACGCACATGCGTGACGCGTCAACCCGGTCTCACAGTAAGACCGGGTTGGACCTGTTCAGGTTTATGCAGACAATCTACATTTAGAATTAGCTTACAGATGTAAAATTAATTCAGTAAAATACAAAGCATTTTATTTAAATATCCATTCATTATTTTACAAGCACAGAGAGCCGCATGGAAGAGCCGCATGCGGCTCCAGAGCCGCGGATTGCCGACCCCTGAGCTAGGGCATGTGCGGAGGACACACACACACACACACACACACACACACACACACAAGCAAAATATACTTGTTTTCAATTACGTTCATTGGGCCCACTTACATTTTCTTAGGCCCACCCACAAATGAGTTTCTGGCTACGCTAATGGTGACTTTTGACAGACTTCTCTGAGCTCCGCAGCCATTACACTTTTCACCTCGCGCACCCCCTAGCGGCACCACACTTTGGGAATCCCTGGTGTAGACAATTAAAATATTATTGGTAAGTTAATATAATATTGATTCTTGGCAATGAGCATTTGTCAGCTGTTTAATACTTGTTAATATCCATTCACGTAATGTAGCTTAGCGCTTTAGAGAGAGGGAGAGACGCATGTCATCTTATCCAGAGCACAACCCAGAAACCAGCTTCCCTAGCCTGCTAGCATCTTTTAAAAGCTTTGCATCCTCTTCTTGAGGTTAGGAGCACAAGTTCCTAGCCAGTTCTGACCTAGAAACCAGCATCCCCGCCTCACTAGGAATTTTTGAAAGCTCTATCCTCTTCTAGAGCTCCAATGCTGATCTGGGTAGGAGCCATCAAATATTTTTCAAAACTCCACCAAGTGGCTCTGGAGGATAGGAGGCATGTTGAACTCCCGTCACATCACTGGGATTGTAATCCTCTGGTCTGGTGTGGAGCAGAAACGACCGTGTTTTCAGCTGCACAAAATGCACCAGAAAAGGAAGAAGGTGCTGTTCATCTACAGACTACTGGAGTCTGTAGATCCTCCACACAATAGTTTACCATTTTTTTCGAAAAATCAATGGTTCCACTTATATTACATTATCTATGTGAACTCTCCAAGATTATTTAGAGCTGAGAGGCGCAGAGCTCTGTTCGTTGATGCACTCCAGACAGATGCATCCTGAGCACAGCCACAGCTACATTCTCAAAGTGTCGCCATCTCAAAAACAAATTTAACACGTAATCGTTCATGTCGGCTCATATCCCTTCATGCTTTCTGTCTTTTATTTGTGCCTGATGCATTTTGCTGCTGTGGAGCAGAGCGCATCACCTGTTTCATTCTGCTGTGACTTCACCTCACTGATGCGGTCTGTGCGTAGCACACACTCCTCTATATTTGCAGTCGGTAGATCTTTTAGAACTGCAGTTCAAAGGTAACTCATAAGGTGAATATATATGAAGCCAGATAGCAGTTTTTCTTTAGGATTGAGATGAGATGTAGGAAGATGATAAACAGACAGGACAGAAAAATAGTCAAATAAAAATAAGTTCCTTTTTGTACCTGCTGGTAGCAACAAACAGACACCATTTAAGGTAATCAGAAGTCAGCAACAGAAAATTAAATCATTCTTTCAATGTTTAGAGCAGCATGAACTCTGAGAGGCTGCAGGCGCATCAGTGAGTTTGCAGTAAAGATGAAAAAACTACCGTTGTTAAAAGAAATGTGTTTAACTTTGAAAATGTGGGCGCAATTTTAATTACTTGTCAACTTGTCAACTGCTTTGCTTTTGAAAAACACAAGTTGTGTCAAGAAATTTTCGCAAATTACCTTTGTAACCGTCAATGTATCTCGACATAAACCCAACCTTGTCAGTACAGGACAGGATGTGTGTCTTTGCATCATCTATAGGCTTTTTCCTCCTCTTTCTTGTGGACATAATGGCTCTGTGAAAATAATCGTAATTAGTACTTAGTCAAGGCAAATCTCACAGAAAGGTTTTTGAAAAATAGCAAGAGAAAAATAAAATCTAGAACATTCATACAAACACACATACAGCAGCTGTGCATTGAGCTTTGCTATTGCATGATGCACATTGTTTAACATCAAACACAGGATAATGAAATATACAAATTCTGAAATGTGTACACTGAGAGCTGACCGAGCCTGTTGAAGCCAAGAAGTTAGTTTGTTATATAATAACCAAGCTGTGCTGCAAAGACACTCAGTCACTAATCTAAACTAGGGCTGTCAAACTTCTGGTACAACAACATCACTGACACATGCAGCATTTTCAACCTGGACCTTATTTTTTTTTAGCCTGGCCAGCCAGACTCACTCTGTTCAATTCTGCACAGAGCGAGTCTGGCTGGCCAGGCTAACTTTTTTAACAAATATTACGTTAATTTACTCACCCAGACAAGTGTGGACCTACTTGGCGTAGTTCAGGAGGAGTTTTAATCAGGTTGCTATCACTGTATATCCATATAATGGGAGCCTATCAGGGCAGGATATTATAAGATTATCTGCCCCAAAACTCCTTCATTTAACAATGTTTTGTTGAGAATAGTTAAAAAAAAATTCCTCTGTGAGTTCAGCACGTCTCAAAGGTGCTAACATATTAGCTTCTGGAGTTTTACAGGCTTTTAATGCAACCGATTCCAACTGAGATTTCAATAACGTTGCAGCCCTCCGCCATTACGGCTGTAGTCCGCGTAGGTTGCTGAAAGAGTCTGTAGAAGCTGAATTTAGTCCAATTGGTCATTCGATTATTGCAATTTGGAAACACGCAAACCCGAACTACACTGATGTCAACAGCAGCAAGTTCTGTCAAACCGACCGTTGCAGAGCACAGAGTTAAAGTGCTGGCCGGACTACAACCAAGATGGCGACTGGCCGTGACGCTGTTTTAATCGCACAATATTGTTGTATTTTTGCCTTGAAATCACCCCAAACCGAACAAATAAACACTTACGAGATTTTCTGAACTCCGATGGGAGTAGTGTTAACGTTTAATAAGAACACTTGGTTAAATGAAGGAGTTTGAGGGCAGATAATGCAGCAACAACTCCTGCAGTTTTGCTCCCATTGGCATTATATGGATATAAGCTGATGGCGACTCGATAAAAAAACTCCTTCTGAGCGGCTCCAAATAACTCCAAACTTGTCTGGGTGAGTAAACAACGAACTATTTATAATATTATATTGCTAAAGTTAGCCACATGGCAGCCAGCTTCAACAGAACGCCAAAATATAAACTCTTCTGAACCATGCCTAGCTTACCTGCTGCATGCAGAGGTCGGTAAATGTAAAAATATTCAAAATAATCCAATCACTCCGTCTTCTTTTTGTCTTCAATCCGTGTTGTTTTCTTCTTGTTGTGAACTTCCGGTAGTTTTCCTCAGTGCAGCAATGTCATTGGCCAAAGGTTTCAGACTCCCGCGGTGTGTATAAGATTTTGCGGGAAGTGTATATCCTGACTTCCGGTTACGGTCGGCTGCAGGATACACACCTTTACACACTTGCCCACTTTTTGCTACCTTAGGGGACAATTTTTTGACATGAAAAAAAAAGCAATGGTAGCATCAGGGGAGGCTGCTGAGCTCATTTTAATTGAAATCGGAGTGGGGTCCACCATTTTGGGCCCCACTTGGATTTTGGACCTCCTTAGGTGGGTGTGCTCCCACCCATGGGAACCCACACCGAGAGAAATGTTAGGACACACACACACACACACACACACACACACACACACGACCAGTTGTCCAAAGCTCTGGCTTTTAATGTTGGGAAAGTGACTTTCTGGCACAGATATAAAATGTTGTCAAGTAGGCGACATCAACCCATGCAATATAGACATTACAACACAGTAGGGTTGTCACGGTAACTGGTATAGCGGTAAACCCCGGTAAAAAAGTTGACAATAAAAATAACCGTCCAGTTTTTAAAAAACTAAAATATCTCGGTGGGTTTACCGTGGCCGCGGTTTCAGCGCGGTGACCCTTACCAGCCACCGTCGCTTCAGCTGAAGTTCCCGCGCACACGCACTTTTTAGTTTGCAACCAAAACTTTGAAGCTGAAATAATGGCCGAAGGAGGAGACGGCAGCGCCCAGGACATCCATCAGCCCTCAAAGAAGACTAAATCGGAAGTATGGGCATATTTTGGATTTCTGAAAAATGCTGAGGGACAGTTAATAGAAGACGGCTATCCCGTTTGCAGAACGTGCAGGAAACAAGTGTCTGCAAAAGGCAGCAACACTTTGAATCTAATGGCACATCTGCGTCACCATCACCCACGTCTCCACAGCCAGTGCAAGGTAAGTTAACATTAGCATTTTAGCTGAAATGCATGACGTGAGGACTTTTGGTTGAGGGAGAACGCAACGAGTCACTATATCCTGCAGCCGCAGCGTCCTCTGCCAGCATTTAAACCGTGTCACGGACACCCTGTTGCTGGATGAAGTATCTTATTTGTTGATGATGAAGAGAAATATACAATTAGTTCCTTGTCATTGATTTGTTTACTTATTCAATGCCATTTATACTTGAACATTTGGATTTGATTACATAGTGTAGTAGTTATTTTAGTAATTTGTTTAAAGTGGCTATTTATTTTAAATACATATTTTTTAAGGTTGACTTGTACAGTGCTCAAGTCAAGTGTGGACTGGAGTTTTAAATTTTCATTTTGATAATGAAGAAAACAAGTATATGAGAAAACAAGTGGTGTTTCTTTGATTTGTTTACATATTGTTTATGGTTTGAATGTTTGGATTTGTATAATTTAAACCTGCACTGACTACTGTAACAAGTTCCAGAAAAAGAAGCTATATGCTCCTTTACTTGTGAAAAGTTGCACTTTTGCTAAGGCTTTGTGTTATTTTAGGTTTAATAAACACTGTTAAACCTTTTCAGAACTATTTCAGTTTGTGTAGAACAGGACTATCAATGCTTTCTGAACATATGCAACACCGTTTAAAAAATACCGCGATAATACCGAAAACCGTGATAATTTTGGTCACAATAACCATGAGGTTAAATTTTCATACCGTGACAACCCTACAACACAGTGGATATATATTTATCTTTTTACCTTTAATATCTATAAAACTGGTTTAGGTCCTTTTGCATTTGCTAAAGCCCATTAGCTCTGAACCACATAAACACAAACAGGCAAAAACGTGCCAACCCTAACCCTCTTCCGCTTTTCACAAGTGGAAAATAATCAGTTTAGATATGTTACTGGACAAGGAAAACAATAAAAACTGGGTTTTCTTAGACAGGATCAGCTGAAAAGCTGTTATGCGCAACCTGATAGTTCATAGTTTTAGAAATCGATGACAAAATAGTTTTTTGCGCCAATCCATGGAAAGAAGTGAAGCAGATGTGATAAATAAGGATACTTTGGTAAGTAAGCTAACTTCTTTTGTGTGCTCATACTGTGTTTTTGTCTATAAACCATTGTTTAGTTCTTTTCTTACACAGTTTAGAAAAAATAATTGTTTACATGTTTCAGCTAGTAGCCCGTGGATAAATGGAAGTCACACCACCATCACAGTGATCTCTGAGAATGATTAGAGCTAGCTGAAACATGTAAAGTAAACATAATTTTTACTAGACTGTGTAAGAAAAGAAGAAAAACATGGAAGTGAGCTAGCTGTCCAACTTGGCTGACATGAATTTTACTTGAAGGAACATGTTCTCATGTGCTTTACGTTTGTTAGTGGTTTAGCAATATTCCCACAAGGCTGTTTATCCCCTTCATTTAGAACAGCCTTGTTTATTGGCTGCACATTTTTATGAAGTTTAGCATGCAAGCATCACTCAGTCATGTGACCTTCTGAAAGCAGAAAATGTCTTGACAGTAAATGATGTGTGGTAAAAATTACTGGACAACAACTAAAGATGAGAAGCTCACTAGTATAAACGATCCAAATGCCACAAAAGAAACAGCGGCAGCTTCTGCAACAGGCTAAAGCCTGATTTCTGCTTCTCCGTCTGCGTCAGTGCGGAGCACACGCAACGCCATTATCCGTCCTTGCGTAGGTATCCGGCAGGCATGCAAGTACGTACGGGGTCGAGCCCACTTTCTTAAACATCCGTCGAACGAGACAGATTACGCAAGCTTGTGATTGGTCAGGACGCCGCTGTTGTTTACAGCGCCGCCATTGCAAAGAGAGCCGAGTTTAACTAGCAGCAGACACGGAGAAGCTTGAAGAATACCTCGCGAAAAAACTCTAAAAACATGAACGTTTAATTCTCCCGTGACTGGAGGAGTGAAAAGATCCGCAGCAAGCGTTTTATTTGTGGACGGAAATGACAGGAAACGTGGGTTTAGAGGTGGGGAGCGCATGAAGAGGTGGAGGAGAATGAGAGACAAATATGTCCGTATTAAAAGTCTCGTATATACTCAAAAAACACAATATAAACACACTATCTTGGACCGATACATGACAGGATACCACAGAACAGCGCTACGCCCTCTGTGGTCCTGCCGGGCGGTTGCTTTGCAACACTCTCAAGGAGACGGAGAAGTAAAAGAGTAAAACGCTTCCGTCAATCCGTGCGTGTCTGTCCCTTGCGGAGCTGACGGAGAAGCATAAACCAGGCTTAAGACAGCCGCTACACACACAATATGGCCAAGTTTCTAGTTTGCTAATGTAAAATCACTGGAAATCAAGCTTTACCACCTCAGAACCACAGTTAACTTCCACAAAGACGTCAGGGACTCCAACTATTTGTGCTTCACTGAAACTTGGCTGAACGCCGCAATGCCAGACTGAGCTGTAACCCTCGTTATTTTTGCTCCACATAAATAAAATGACATACTCTTAAAGGTGGACTTTGCTTTGTGCTTAACGTGAAGTGCTGAACTCGTGTCACCCCAACAATGGTCTGTCTCGACTAGTGAGTTCAGGTAAGAGCTTTAGGAGACGATAAAGTAGCAGCTCAGGTCAGATTTCACTATATTGTACAAGTACAAATGCACTCCCGCCAAAGACTATTGAGTTACAGCATAATTAAATAATCATTATTACGTATACTTGGGGAAAAACTGAAGATTGTCAATGCAACAATTTGTCCAATATGTCCATTAATGTGACATAACTTTACACAAATAATCATTTATGGACATCAGATAAATAAACCTCTATGAGCAAAAGATGTTTCACAAAAAAACTAAAATAAAATAAGGCGTGGATACTAAAATGTTCAGTCAACAACAGCTGAGACAGAAAATAATAATAATAATAACATTTAGCATACTAAAATTAAACATTCCTTTCTGAGTAGATGTTCCCATCTTTAACAACTTAGTGGTTTTGCGCTGAGAACCTCTCTTTGAAATCCTGTTGTCCTGACAGCGTTGCATCACACTTAAGCCTCAGTATTGTCCCATGTAGGAACACATGAACAGCCAGCCTCACTGAGATGTTATAGTCTTCGTCTCTCGTTGTTTACCCCTTTGTTGCTCCCTTCACCATGGTCTGTATCATAAAACAACGTTTACAAAGATCAGCTTAAGCTACGTGTCACTGTGTATCAAATCAAACACGCCTAGGCCGCACATCAGCCTGCGTGTTTATGTGTTGTTGAAGAATATACCTGTGTCTCATGCATTGGTGTGTGTGTGTGTGTGTGTGTGTGCGCGTGCGTGCGTGTGTTATACATGTTTCTAGTAGGTTCAAGCAATTCAACTGGAACTTTTATTCTTGGAAAATATTTTGCTTTTCATTCAATGAGCTTATCTGTACATACAAGAGAGCACTAAGCTTTCAGACTGTACCGTAAATGCTCTGTTGGCATTGATGGACACTCAATTGCTTCTCATAGGATGAGAAATCCTTCAAAAAAGAAGCTTAGCGGTGGAGAGGCTCTCCCACACTTGCTTTTGCCTGAGGCCACCTGCACTGCCACGCCTCGGATGGGCAACAGAACAAACCCTCAGCGAAACATGTGGGATACTTCTCATCATTAAACATTCAGATCTAAATACGGATCATTTCTCAGACCTAAAACCCATTTTTAACTCCACACACCAGCATGAGAGATATCTTCCAAATCAAAAACAGACTAAAAAGCCAAATCAGCATGTATCCATGTTTCCTTTGGACAACCACGGTTCCCTTTGAGTGCTAGCAGACATCCAGTGATTGAAGTCTCGTGGTAAGCTTGACTGATTCTCTTTACGTGTTGATAAACGCAGAGCAGCCAGCAAAATAGAAGGTTGTTGCCATTCTGTTCAAGCGTACTGGGGGGGGGGAGGAAAAATAGAAACTCCCACAGAGACATTAAACTTTATTGCATGCCAATGACAAATGCTCCAACAATTTCTAATATACCCCCTGATATCTAACAACTCTCAGATATTTCCTTTGGTTTTCTTCCAAGCTACCATAGCAACAGTATCACCAAGTCGCTGCAACAAAATAATAAAAGGGATAATAAGCACCATGGTGCCAAGTGAATCAGCCACAAGTCTGTAAAACATGCATAGTTGCCTCACACCATGAAATCTGATACCTACGAAGCAACACTTCTGCTCTCACCTTTTCTTTGCGGCTTGGCCCAAAGTTCCGGATGGAGAATTTAGAGACGACCGACTCCTCAGGTCGTGGATGCTGTGCTGGAGTGCAGATGTTAAGTGAGTAGACGCAGCAAAAAGCACCGAAAGGGTGGAGACGGGAAGAGGATGAGGAAGGAGAAGAAGGTGCAAATGCTGAATTATGGATGACAAGGGGTGA